CTCTCTCTCGTCTTTCTCCTCCTTCTCTATAGACCTATATATATATATCTTTCACTTTCTCTCTCTCTTTTTCACCCGCTAGCTAGGTGTTCCCGTTCTACTCTCTTTTTCCATTATTCATTTACTTCCTTTTTCGATCATTCTTTCCATCCTCTTTCTTCTATCGCACTCGCGTCTGCACTGCGAGACAAACTGGCTTTCTGTCTCTCTCTCTCTCTCTCTCTCTCTCTCTCTCTCTCCTCCTCTCTCTCTCTCTGTCGAGAGAGAGAGAGAGAGAGAGAGAGAGGGGGGGAGAGAGAGATATAGAGAAAGAGAGAGAGCGCGCATGAGAGAGATAAATATACGGGAGCATGCGAACGAGGGCGATTCAGACGCATCGACGCTCCTAGTCTCTCTCGACGCATTTAAATGCATGAACTCTGCGATGGCGCCGGCTTAACACCTAAGTGGCAACGCTAGATAACTAGCCAGTGCGTCGCCGCACACTGCATCGCGCTGCCTCATCGCAACCCACGCTATTATCCTGAGCAGGGCAGATATAGTGTGCCACTGCCACCGTCGACGACGATGACGACGATGACGATGGCTAACGTAACGACGATAACTACATTATATCCGAGCGCCGACGTCGTGACGCATTTCATGACGCAGAACGCGAGCGTCGGCGGCGACGCTGCGTCGACGACCGCCGCGACGACGTCGGCGGGCGCGAGCGTGGCCCCCCCTCGCTACGAGCCGTGGCAGGTGGTGCTCATCTCGCTTCTGCTCATCTGTGTCATTCTCTGTACGATCATCGGCAACGGACTCGTCGTGCTGGCGATCTGCATCGTACGCAAGCTGCGCACGCCCTACAACTACCTGCTCGTGTCGCTCGCCGTCGCCGACATGAGCGTCGCCATCTGCGTCATGCCGCTGGCGCTGCTCTACGAGATCCAGGGCGAGTGGGTGCTGTCTGAGACGATCTGCGACATGTGGACTTCGAGTGACGTGCTGCTCTGCACCGCCTCGATACTCAACCTGTGCATGATCTGCGTCGACCGCTACTTCGCCATCACGCGACCGCTGCAGTACTCCGCCAAGCGGACGCCGCGTCGCATGCTGCTGCTCGTCGTCGTCGTCTGGCTGACGTCGGCTCTCATCAGCATCCCGCCGTTCTTCGGCTGGAAGGAGCCGCAGCCGCCCGGCCAGTGCGTCGTCAGTCAGAACATCTGGTACCAGCTGTACGCGACGATACTCGCCTTCTATCTACCCTGCGCCGTCATGCTCGTGCTCTACATGAAGATCTTCCTGGCGGCGCGGCGGATAAGCAAGGAAGAGGCGAAGGCGTACCGAACGCTGTCCGTCTACAAGACGGAGGAGAGCAACGGCGACGTCGGCGTCGAGAAGAAGCGCGCGTCGTCGAAGCTCCGCGGCCAGCTCAGCAAGTTCCGCGAGCGCATCAGCATGCACCACGGCGGCAAGGGCAGCAAGGACTCGCACTTTGCGCGCGAGACGAAAGCGGCGAAGACGCTCGGCGTCATCATGGGCTGCTTTATACTGTCATGGCTGCCGTTCTTCCTGCTCGCCGTCATCGGGCCGCTGTGTGGCGCGCGCTGCAGCATACCGGACGGCATCTATAGTCTGTTCCTCTGGCTCGGATACTCCAACTCGACGTGCAATCCCGTCATCTACGCGACGCTCAACAGGGAATTCAGGAAGCCGTTCCATGACTTGCTATGTTTTAGGTAAGCGGCTTCACTTACGTAATAAGTACTCAAACTGATTATTTCTTGTATGCATGGTCCTGACGGTTCTTGTTTTTCCCGACCGTTTGCGATACTTAGTGGTATTGGCTTGCGTAACAGCAAGTGTCTACAGTAAGACTAGCATATATCAGAACACTAGTACATCTATATATTCACCGATATATCCACAGTGGATATATTCTATCGCAGTCCAGGTTTCACGATTCCAATTTCACAATTACGTTTCGGTGAATGTGTACATGTTGTAACGCGTAGTACTGGATTAGGTAAGATAACGAGCGTTACTGACTCTGTAATGTAAGGTGTGTTACGGACTCAGAATAAGGTAACGCGTAGACGTGAGGGTGACCCAGCACTGAGGTCGCCTGGCCGGGTCGCAGACCGAGAGAGGAAGGGTGTTGCGGAGGCAGCGTGGGATGAAAGCCTGGGTATACTAAAAAAGAACACCTTGATGGGGTATCTACGAAAGCCCAGAAGGCTCATGCGAAATGCGAAATGCGAATTGCGAATTGCGAAATGCGAAATGCAAAATCTGTAGCAACCAATCAGAGAATGTGTTGGGCTTGACGAATCGCATGGCCGGTATTAATTACTACAAAGACAAAGATGGCGGTCATCTCGATTACAAACAATGAGGTGTGACGACTAATGGGAAGTCTACTGTACTGTTGTACAACGAATATGCACACCTAAAAAAACCTTCGAAGACGGGTAACATGCTAGTGCTATTGAATTAAAGATTTTATAACAAGTTTATTCAATGTAAACCCACGATTTTCAATGAATGTGAAGGTGAATTGTTCACCCTCATTGTTTATTATTATTGGGATATTTATATATATAATATTAATATATATATAACAATGATATATTATATTATATTTATAATTAAGTATCCCGGCAGAGTCGGGCACGCTGGCCAATGTCTGATCTCTATCGACGACAGATCGAACTACATCGGCTGATCCCAATCACTTCTAATTCTGGCGGTACACTGACCTGAAAAAGAAACACGCGCGCAGACGTGCCTGCTGCCTCGTCGTCTGCCACTGCTGCTGGCATTGCTGCTTGCGTATGTTTCCATTCGTCATGGTAACGTTGCTGCGTCATTGTGCTCCATAATGGTTTTGCCCGCGTAATGTATGTCGTGTGCTATTTATTGATAGGTACGCCGCTCTGTTGTGTCTCTTCAATGTATTGCGGCTGCAACGCTGAGCGCAATAGGCAACTGCAATACAACTAGCAATGGTTTGCTGTTGTATATACGCGAGCACCGCCCACGGCTCTCACACATCACGTGCGCCCTCGCATCGTCTGTCTGTTTTAATTTCTCTCGCGCGATCTTTCAGTCGGTTTCTCTTAGGCTCTCTATCTTTATCTCACTAAATGCGTCTCTCCCCATCTCATTGTCTCTCTCTCTCTCTCTCTCGCTCTCTCTTCTCGCGTTCCTTTTCTCTTTTTGTCTACCTCTATCTCTAGCTGTCTCGCTTCTCTATATATTTCTCTCTATTCTGTCCCCGTCGTGAAGAAATCCTAGACTATTCTAACTACTAGAATCTAGGGACTAGTTAGTGATGTGATAGGGCGGGTTTTCAGCGCGATGTGATGTCAAGCGAGCAATGATTAACCGGCTGTATGACAGGCTTAACCTAGGGTCCTAGCTTAACCCAGCTGTGACGTAAATTAATGAAATGAAGGGAAAGCGCTGCCAGATCTGTGAGATCTTACGTATATAAATAAATCAATAAATCAATAAATGAATATACATATATTATATATATATATAGGCTAGCGACCGCGACGTTAATCATTATCCGCGGTAGACTGACTCCACAAGTCGTTTGAGGAATTAACCTAACGGTAACTAGTGACGTCTGTGTGCAGTCTACATCGGCGGCTGATGGCGCTGTAATGATCCATAATGAGAAGAAAACGCAAATAATCGAAATTAAACTAGACATCGCCGCATGCCGCCGCTCTATCGTCGACGTTTAATCACTCATCATCTCACTGCTAGACGGCGCCACTGCACCGCGTCTCAGCGTTGCTATGGACGCCTGTTTGCGCGGACTGACGGAATGAATCGACCCCGTGACGTTGCATGTAGCGCCATGTTCTCGCAGACTTTTCTCGTACTTGTGAAATTCGTGCGCTGTGGTCGTACAGTGAGACGCCGCGTGCATGCGCGTCGGCAGGCAACCAGCCTCCCACAAGAGCAGCCGTGAAGCCGTAGACACGTCGTGACGAGCATGATCTGCTTTTGATTATTCGGCGGTAATCGGCGCGCAGTAAAGGAGGGCCGTTACGAGCGCCACAGTCACTTGCTTGCGAGTTCCTGCCTCGCGTGAGTGACAGACAGCGATCGTCGTGGGCGTGGCGTGAAAACCTGACACCCCCCCCTTCGCGCGCACATTCTTCGGTCGTGCTAGCGTCACGTGGTAGCATTCTGGCTGCGTGTAGCTTCGCCGGCGCCCCATCGAATGTCTGACACGGGTCGGCAACTTACGAAAACAGGCAAACAGGCAAACAAGCAATAAATCAAAATAGATAACAGTGACGCAGTAACAACCTGCGATAGATGCGCGAAACCTTAAGTTTATGCCAGCAAAGGTTACGATCGTTTTTTTATTAGGTCTGTTTTCATCGCCACAGTAGTGATACAACTGAGTATGAAACTCAGCATTTTATCATGTAAATGAGACGTGAGGGACAGTGTTACACACGCTCGTTTTGCTCAGTCTACACAGACACATGCTGGGCACCAGCAGAATGTACGCAGTTTCACGGAGCTCGGTTTATGATATCCCAGCCCCTTACGCGCAAGAAGATGATGAAGATGATGATGAAGATGTAGTAGAATAAAAATAATTACTAATAATAATCGCAATAGAAATAATAATAATAATAACAATACGATGGTGATGACGATAACGAAATGAAGAAGAATGAGAAGAAGGAAAAGCAGAAGAAGAAGAAGAAGAAGAAGAAAAAAAAAAAGAAAAAGAAGAAGAAGAAGAAAGAAAAAAGAAGAAGAAGAAGAAGAAGAAGAAGAAGAAGAAGAAGACGAAGAAGCAGAAGAAGAAAAGAAGAAGAAGAAGAAGCAGAAGAAGAAGAAGAAGAAGAAGAAGAAGAAGAAGAAAAAGAAGAAGAAGAAGAAGAAGAAGAAGAAGAAGAAGAAGAAGAAGAAGATGACGACGACGACGAATAAGAAGAAAACTCAAAAAGGAACAAGAAGAAGAAGAAGAAGAGGAAGAAGACGAAAAAGAATAATGCACCCAATAGGCGTAGCTACAGTTAAACGGATGCTAAAACGGATGCGTTCATTTATTTTCATTATGAACGCATATTAGTTCAGCCCCTGGTTAAATTCGGCTAGATCGCGCATGCGACCTAAAAGTCGTAAACAAAATGTTTTTTACTTGCGTTGAGATTAGGCATAAAAAATGAAATGCTCTCAATAGAAAATACACAGTCCTTACTTCTGAGCGGGTGCGAAATATGTTTATACGGTAAAAAATAATACAAACCGGAACTATTTACTTTTTATCCGCAAATAATACAGATGTGTGCGGCATGCATGTGGAAATTACTCAAATGGAGCAACAAAATAGATTTCTTGTGATTCACAACCCTATATTTAAAACAAAGTAATTCGGCCACGAATGCCAAACAAAAACGTTAATTGACACGATAATCTTATAGTTTTTTCGTCCGTGACAGACATTTAATTATTATAAGAAGCGATCATTGCGCATCATGCGTTTGATGCCGTCGCATCGTTTAGGTGTTAACAGGAAGCCATTTTGTGATACTTCCTGCCGGTGCATTTACTTCATTCGTAAATGCGTTTAAATTCAGTAGAATACGCATACAAGCAGTGAGTATATAAGAACTGATGTACTCATGACCAGTATCCTTGAATTAGCTCCCGATAATTGCTTGTCATTGTGCTGCAAACTGCGTCGCTCGTGCAGACGATTATTCATGAAAAGCAATGACATAAATGCAAAGCGTGACCACTTTCTCATATGTGTGTGCGTGCGAGTGTGTGTGTGTGTGTGTGTGTGTGTGTGTGTGTGTGTGTGTGTGTGTGTGTGTGTGTGTGTGTGTGTGTGTGTGCAGAGTGATTTTCCCGGTCTGATCTTCCAGAGTAAATGCACGGCTGCGTTTATCGACAAGCCTGCTTGATGCATACGTTTATGCAGCTTGAACACGAATTATCATTCGTGTGTGTGGATATAGGGAAACGGTTTTTATCGCAGGT